AGGTGGTCGAAGCTAATTAAACCTTCCACGATGAGGAATTTAAATGCTTGTTCCACAGGAAGAATTTCACAGGGAGCGAGCAAGACGGGGGAATTGATTTCTTCGAGGCGCGTGTCCTATCTTCCGAGAGATGTTTGTTTTATCTGGAAGGCGAAAGGGCTGGATTACGCTTGCTCCGTTCGTTTTCGAGGGATGGAGTGCTCCGACGTCGGTGATTTTATTAAAATTTCTCTAGACGACGTCCTAGAATTTTCTCATAATTTCCTTCGCGATCGATCGTAAAACGTTTTAAATAAAAAAGTGGAAACGATCCCTCGTCGGTGTGATTTATACAAAGAATTATTTTGAATTTTCTACGTTTTGATAGAACATGAAAACTAGATTCAGCGAACTTTGATAATAGGATATTTTCAATGCCTAACGATCGACATTGTGGTAACTTTCTGTGTTAATAGAATATTCAAGACGTCAATTAGGAATTAGCGATGCTTGCATATTTCGCTGTAATTGAAGCAATCGCGATAATAACAGGTTGCTTCGTGTTCCCTGGTGTTACGGGCGCCCTCTTAGTAAACATCATTTTTCAACTTCCGTTAGAAGAAAACGCGCAGCTATGGTATGGTCTGGTGCGCGTGCTGGTCATAGTACGGTGCCATAAATTAAAATCACGACGATCCTTTCTTCCATTGTTGAACGCATTATAATCGCCTTGAAACTTTAATAATGGCTTCGTTCCGACCACGGAGACCTACTATGCTAGCCTACTCTGCTAACTGTGATCTTTATTTTCGTTCGCGAACGCGCTTCCCCAATATTTCGAAACACTGAAATACGCGAAAATTACAGCGCCAGCGAGATCGAGGCCGCGACGAAACAGATTTCGATACGTCGTAATTAATAATGAAACAGATCGAATACGTAATGTGTTTCGCTGCAAAAGTGATCTCTCAATTTCCAATATATTCTCACGCTGTCGCGAGCAATACGCTTTCCTTCTGTTCCATTTCAGTGTAATCCAATGCAAAGCAACGGGAGAAATCGTATAATGAATTCGCAACGTCGTTGGAAAAATTGTAACGCGTTCGTATCGAGTATTTTCACTTGTTCGAGCTACTTCGATTCGGCTCAAACATAAAGGCCGTCCACGATTTCATATTTCTCAAATTCGTTGTGGTTTATATTCGTTATTATATATTTTAAACAATAAAACAAACAAATTTCTTCTTTTGTGAAAAAGAAACTAAGAGAAACTGTATATACAGTTACTCTCGCTCGTATTCGAACGTTATAAATGAAAAATAGCCCATTTTTGTATGCATTGAGATATTCAAACCCTAAGTGGATTATTGGGGCCTCTGGAAGTTTAAATTAATAATTATTTAATCTATGTGATCCTCCATTAGTTCATTATTTTTTAAATGCTTTAAAGGAAAGTTGATTTCCATTTACCAATTTGGTAAAAATTAACATTAAGAAAAATAATTTATTTCAGATTGAGAGTCCATTTAAGGGAGTTTAAATAAACTACAAGGTTGTTTTCAAAAAAGTTAAAACTCGAAGAAAGTATAAGAAAGATGCGACCCCCTGCAAGTTTAAATTAACAATTATATATCAAAGTAATTATTTGAAAATTTATGTAATTCTCCATTAGTTCATTTGTTAAATGCTCTGAAGGAAAGTTTTCATTTACCAATTTGGTAAAAATCAACATTAAGAAAAATAATTTAGTTGCGATTGAAGCCCAATTAAGGGTGTTTGAATAAATTACAAGGTTGTCTTCAAACAAGTTAAAACTCGAAGAAAACATAAGCAAGATGCAGCTCTCTGCAAGTTTAAATTAATAATTATTTAATCTATGTAATCCTCAATTAGATATTTTTTAAGTGCTTTAAAGAAAAGATGATTTCCATTTACCAATTTGGTAAAAATCAACATTGAGTAAAACAATTCAGCTGAAATTGAAGTCCATTTAAGGGTGTTTGAATAAATTACAAAGTTGTCTTCAAAAAAGTTAAAATTCAAAGAAAATATAAGAAAGATTCGGCCCTCTGCAAGTTTAAACTAATAATTATTTAATATATGTCAAAGTAATTATTTGAAAATTTATATAATTCTCCATTAGTTCATTTGTTAAATGCTCTAAAGGAAAGTTTTCATTTACCAATTTGGTAAAAATCAACATTAAGTAAAATAATTTAGTTGATTTTGAGAGTCCACTTAAGGGTGTTTGAATAAATTACAAAGTTGTCTTCAAACAAGTTAAAACTCGAAGAAAATATAAGCAAGATGCGGCTCTCTGCAAGTTTAAACTAATATTTACTTAATATATGTCAATATAATTATTTGAAAATTTATGTAATCCAACCATTAGTTCATTATTTATCAAATGCTCTAAAGGAAAGATTTCATTTACCAATTTGGTAAAAATCAACATTAAGTAAAATAATTTAAGCAAAAAGAGTTAAAACTCGAAGAAAATATAAGAAAGATGCGACCCTCTGCAAGTTTAAACTAATATTTATTTAATATATGTCAATATAATTATTTGAAAATTTATGTAATCCTCCATTAGTTCAATATTTGTTAAATGCTTCAAAGGAAAGTTTCCATTTACCAATTTAGTAAATATCAACGTTAAGAAAAATAATTCAGTTGAGATTGAGAGTCCATTTAAGGGTGTTTAAATTACAAGGTTGTCTTCGAAACATAAAGCTCGAAGAAAATGGTAAGAAAGAAAGATAGTTGGAATTAGAAGAGTCCGTTTAATTGAGAGGCATAGGTTTTTCCCCCGAAACGCGACTATCTCCGAGACCACGTTGCGTGTGTCTGGCGTGCATTAATTACGTTAATTGGGGGCGAGATTCAGCGGGGATCGCGTCGGCTCGAAAGTCATAATTTATTAACGCAAATGGATTAGCGACGGCGGAAAAGCGCGCATCGAGCCGGATGGAGGCACGTTGGCCGGCAACTGGCACCCTCGAACGATCATTTCCAACCCCTAGCGTCTATCGACGAGTCTAGTGCAGCATTGTTCGACCCTCTGGATTCTCCGGTATAACCGCGGGAGATTTTTTTCCAGATCGAGCCGGGGTGGCCACCAGAATTCCTGGCTAATTCGAGGAGTGCCGGAACGACGCGGTGCGGAAGGAGAACATCTGTCGATTGCTTCGTTCCACGCCGCGATCGTAAACATTAAAGCCCGGATACCACAACAATAGATATATTTACACGAACGTGCGAGCACACCCTCCATCGGGATATTACGTTCGGGGTAGTGGCTCGGGCCGCAGTTTGAGTGATAAATTGCGTTTCGACGTTAACTTCCGTGTCGATGCGCCCGTTTCATACCCCTACCAACCCCCTCCCGGACTGGTTATTGTTACGAGTGTTATCGCTGTTAACCGTTTAACGAAGGGCGGCGGTGACGCTCGGGCTGTTTTATTTCGCGGCGTTGTTATACTTGAATTATTACGGCGAAAGTGTCGTTGTATGTTTAGGACGAGCCATGTTGTTGTACGAGGTGTTAAAATTGGGAGGGTTGCTCCAAAGAATCGTGTTTCTTGCTAAGTGCACTTATTTCGACATTTTTATTAGGCAGGGCTCCTAAATTTTTTAGACCATAGTTTGTTTTTTTTATTTTATTTTTCTAGTGGTTATAGAATATAATGGAGGGGCTAATATTGGTATAACACAGGGAGATTTAACGCCCTCGATTTATCACTCTATACAATTTTTTTTTTTAAATTGGTGTACGTTTCGAAGAACGTCTAATTTACATTTTGATGAAGCATAATAAGATAATGTAATTAAATTTATTACCCTTTGGTCATCACCGACAGTGTATTACACGAGCAGTGTTTACTGGATCGTACAAAGCAGCTTAATTTCAGCTGTTTAATTGTCTATCGATGCTTCGACCTCATTTTCGGGATCGCTTCGGGGAACCTATTAATTTGTGGGTTATAATCGAAACATAAATCTCTAATTACGCGCACCGATTCTCCAAAAATAATGACCTTCGAACGAGATTAATCTTTACTGGGTTTCGGTGAAATATAAATAACTTGTTAAAGGATTTATATTAATGTAATTTACGTGTTTAATTTTTACACTCGCTAAATTGGTTAGTCACTACTTCAGCAGTTGACGGAACTTTGAATGTTATTTAAAACAATAAGCATCGAGAATGTAAGTGCGTATAAACAGATGTTCAGTTGAATATTTTATTTGGACAAAGCACAAAACACTAATTACCCCTTTCAGATGGCACATGTTGACACAGATGTGTCCATACCGATTCACAGTTAATAATTTTGCAACGTACACTTATAACAGAGCTCCATTTTTTTCCAACTATATTTACAACTTGTCAAAAATCGAAGAAAAGAAAAGAGCAATAGTATCAGACGGTGTAATAAAAAAATTAATTACGTGCGTGGTCACAGTGCATATTACTATAGAAAGCTGAGTCACTTCAATGGTATTAAAACGGAGACCTTAATATAATGAAACGAGTGCTGTATAAATAAAAAAACGGAGACTATAAATACAAAAAAATTGTAAAAGACAGAATGTATACTATTAGAACTTGGTCGATTCGGTTACGCGAACAAGAAAAGCACAGACGAGTGTAAACCACTTGTTAATGCATATTATTGTTAAAGCTAATTTACGAGCGTAAGAAATTAGCTTTGTAATTAGTCTCGTAATTACGTTCGCGTTGAAACTCGGATTTTTTTCTCCGCTTTCGCTTCTTTTTAAAACCGAACCCTCGCGGCCATCCATAATGCATAATGATAAAATAACTTCTGCGTTATCTTTCATGGATACCAACCGACAGTTGCGTCACGTTATTACAATCGTATTTCCGTTTACTCGTAAACGATAAATACAACATTTTCGACGGGAATAACGCGTTTCCGTTATTCGCGTTCCACAATGGAGCGCCGCGTTGCGTCAGAACAGATTTTTAAAATTTATGTTCCCGTTTTCTGTTCCAGCTTTGGAAAGCGGACGGGTGGCAGTGCCAGGAGACCCAACGAATGCTTCGTTCTCGAGCCCTCCGAGATGATCGTCGTAAGTAGAAAAGTTATTTCACTTGGTAAAGTTTCCGAAGTCAACTTTACGACCGCGCTGTAATCCGAATCGCGGAAAAATTCGCGTGTTAGCTGCCAACAGTTACCGAATCCGCCGACAGTTTCTACTTAAAACATGAATGCACCCCATCTGCGAGCTCGGTATTACCCTTGGATGATATTTAAGAAGCTCGTTTAATCGCCATTTTAAGTCTCCGTAAATTCGAATACCATCGTGCATCGGAAAACACTGAAAATTAAATCAAAATTCGTGTTATATTTCGTACCTGATTTCAGAATTTTTATTACTCCATACTGAATTCAGAAATTTGGTGAATTAAAATTTTTTTAGGACCAGGAATTCCCATGCTTCTAATTTATAATTTTTAATTGTTTATTCAAACACTTCGTTTGGACATTTTCCACCCCCAAAGATACATCGAATAAAATCGAAATATCTAAAACATTGCAAATTTTTGAACTTCTTAAATGAAATTTCGACGTTGTAATAATAATATTGATGCTTTTTTTTTTTTTGAAAATCGTGGAAGTAAGTTTTGATAATGGAAAAATTAGGAACTAAAGTATATGCAAACGAATTTCTTTTTTTCCGACCGGTTTGTCCTACATTTACGAACGAACGTACCGCAGACATCCCTTCGTGGCTGCTCCGTTCGCGAACTATTCCGGATATAGTGGCGATATCGCATAATGAAAGACAATGCTGTCCAGACTCGAGACGCAACGTGCTAGACAGTTAATCAATAGTTCCTCTCCTGTTATGTTCGCGTCGAGTTTTCGAGACTGCATCGCTGCACTTCCCGATTCGCTCTGTCTGTTTTGCGATCGCTATTTTCAATTACTCCAGACGAACGTTGAAACGTAATGGAATTGTCGCGTCCGCGGAAGAAAATGAATTCTCTCGATGTAATTTACATACGTACGTGTTAACGTATGCTTTCGATATACGCTCTGAAAAGCTTGGGAATCATCGAAGGGCAGAAATTTTTTATCGATTTTTATATCTAAAAAACGTTACGACTCGATGATATTCAGGTCAAAAATTGGACGAAGTAGCCACGAATCAATTCCATTTCTGTCGAACGACAGATAAGAAATTCCAATATTTATCTGGATCAGGAATTATGTAAATCCAAAGGGACAGAAATCCAGTTCGTATTTTAAAAAACGCAGAAACTCTGAATCCATTGACGATTTAAAACGTGAAATTTAGTATGGAGAAAGTAATTTTGTATCCGGAGTATGTTGAAAATGTTATTCAGTTATTAAAATACAGTATCACGATATTTTGATACGAAGCTCATAAAAATGTAAAAAATTGTTCACATTTTTCAACCGATTGCATAAAAATTTGCCCCGGAGTCGTTTCAGGGTTTTGAATATTTTATTTCATTTCAACTGCGAGTCAACATTTTCGTTCGAAACATTTATACTTTGGAACTTGGAGTAAAAATAAAAATTCAAATCCGGCGAAACGCCACAGCGACGAGTTACGGATATTTTATTTCATATTATATCTTCATTTATATTTTCCATCGACTCGTTACAAGTTAAAAATACGTTTTTGAACTAAGCACGTTATTGTTAATGCTAAGCCGTCGATATAGACGTTCGTTAGTAAACTCCGAACGAATTTGAAGTTTGCAAGATCGCAAACTTCGTGTCTTTATTACGTTAGTGAAGTTCTGCTAATAAGACGACGGGAAATTATATCTCTCGAATAAATTTCGAAACAAGGTGTATATATATATATTCCGGGATCTGTCTGTTTTATTCGTGTTCAGCGACGCTCGAAAATCGTGGAAGCCAATTTTAATTATCCTCCTGCAGTCGCTTTGACATTTGAAATTCACTCGAACTGTTACGAAAGCTCGAAACTGTTTCGAGATTTCCTTGCTCGACGCTAATTATTCCGAGCCGGTAGTAAACGAAACTCGTGGCTCGTGCTGCCATCTGCAACGCGATCGTCTGTTTTACCGACGAGGCAGATTCCAGGATCTATGGATCCCGGCTACTGTTTGACCATCGGATTCCGTTAATACGGTACGCGGGATGGTAATGCTATTCAAAAACTCTTTAAACAAATCTGAATCCGAAGAAGCTGCTTCAATCTCTGTCTTCTATTTTCCATCGTTCACTATAATGTTATCTGAACAATTTAATTCGAAAGGTTTCTGTAAGTATTTTCTAGAAAACTTTTTAAAAACCTATTTACTAAAAATAACATTTCAATTAATATATTTATTTTAAAAAATTATAATAATACATTGTAGTCTTTTCGAGCAAGCGTGTTCTAATGGTTGTTTATTTTTCAGTATAATAAACTAAAATAATCTAAAATTGCAAAATTATTTCAACGTTCGTATTTGGAAATGATTTTTTGGTAAATTGAAACACGAGGATTCGTAGAGATTTTTTTTTTTTAATTCGGAAATTGGACGAAGCAGCCAGGAACGTAAGCCAATGTGATTTCCGTCGGGCGACAGATAACAAATTCCAACATTTCTCAGGATCCGGAAATATTTAGGTCCAAAAGGACAGGAATCCAATCCTGTTAAAACTAAAATAAAAAACGCGGTGACTTTGGCTATGAATCATCTGGTTGCAGTCTAAAACTCACGGAAACTCGTTATCGACTGACAACCCAGCAACGATAAGACGTTCCAAAGCCGATCAATGAAACTGTCCAAGTGACTCGATTCTGGCAACGATTCCTGGAACGTCCTGGTGAAAAATATTTTCGCGCGGAACGAACGACCGTCTGCGAAACCCGCCGTGAAAAGGGGGAATGCGGATGATTTTTATGAATGGAGGCAAAAAACCGGAGGATTTTTTTAAACAAACGACAGAGGAACGTGCAACTGCAGAATGCACCACGGATTACGCAACGCGTTGTCGTTGTTTCTGGTGTACGTGTGTGTACGGTCTCCGCTCGTTTCCTGTTCTTGTCCGTTTCGGTATTTTTCTAGCATTATCTTAGTTTCTTGGTGGACAACGTACCATTATGCGTCGACGTCGCGTTAATTGTCTTCGTTCGGTGATTGTTTTATAGAAATTAATTGCGTCTACCCTTCCATTCTTGAACTCTTAAAAAGTTACGGAAACAAGTATTTTTAAATGACTAGTAATCAGCTTACAAAAATAATTTAATATTTTTTGGTCTATAAGAATAATTTGATTTTAGACCAGAAACATATTTTAACTATTTCTGATTGGAAAAATATATGGTATTTTATAAATAGGAGATTTTTATATAGAATCGTAAAATAGCAAATAAAACACCGGTACTTAACAGTGAATTAACTATTTCTGTTTGGAAAAATATATGGTATTTTATAAATAGGAGATTTTTATATAGAATCATAAAATAGCAAATAAAACACCGGTACTTAACAGTGAATTAACTATTTCTGATTGGAAAAATATATGGTATTTTATAAATAGGAAACTTTTATGTAGAATCATAAAACAACGGACAACAGTGCTATAAGCTTCTTAAATCATTTTTTTTTTTAGTAAAACTACAATGCATTTCATTGAGGACTTAGATTAGTTCCTGTAAAAAGATTACGGGTTTTCTAAACGTCCTCTAAATAAAACGACGGTACTTAACAGTGAAAACAGTAATTTAAACGATAAGGTTCCCATGACTAATCGACACTAATTTTGCATCTGCTAGTGATGCAAGGACGCGTTTCGTACTATGTTTCTCAATTGGAAACGTCGGTGTATACGTCATACATTCATGAATTATTGATGACTCACGACGTTACAATTGCATTGTACCTGATAACAAATTATCAGTTAATAATTCAATAAAGTGTTTTCCGATAACGCGACTCCTAACATCGCAGATGGATAAAATTCTTATCTGGATACAAATTTCGAACAACAAATAAGACGTTAACAACCGTTTAAATAATATATTTCGTAATAAAAAAATAATAAATTATTTAAAAATTTCAAAATTTTTGAGAGACAAAACACCTCAAATTCGATGCATTTCTCGTAATCTATTTGGATATACACATTCGACGGGCACGTGATGTCTTTCTACCGGGTGTCATACGATGTTTGCATTCCCATCGTGCTGTCGGTGGCGATAAATCTTTGATTCGTTGACTGACAGTGATCTTAAGCCTCGAATAGGAGCAGGAGAAAATGTGTGCGGGGTAGATGCAGAGAATATTATAGTGGATTTACGGCTTTGCTCGAAGTAATTCGTCCGCTCGATATCTCTTAGATTTAGCTTCCAGTGACGGATTACGCGGAAATCCATTCAGGTTCTATGTCGGAGCTGTCCTGCGAACTGTGTAATTCGGGCGCGATGATCACCGAACGCGAATCGAATCCACGTTTTCGTCGGAAAGAACCGTCAAGGAGAATAATAATTATCAATCGCACGCTCCGTTTCGCCTTAATTATCGTTACGACGGGGCCAGCGAGTTCTCCTTGCAACTCGTTCCCCGGGCATCAATTAGTCGTCGCGCAAAGCGTTGCATTTATTTCGTTTTCATTTAATCGCTCTTTAATCCGTCCGCTCGGCGCTCGCGTTTCGCGTCGGATATTCGTGTCCATCGGGGGCTCGGTGCTTTTTACAAAAATCGATGGAAATTGATATCGAGGGGGATATTTAAAGCTGCGTCCCCACTGGGTCGGCACGGCTCGGCATTTGCCGATAGCTGCGTCCCCACTGGGTCGGCACGGCTCGGCATTTGCCGATCGGCACTGCCGATCGGCACAGCGTTCGGCAAAAGGCGGCACAAGGCGGCACGGCCGTGCCACTGCTTTGCACCGCGGAAAAGCCATTTCAGTACACAAAAAATGTACAGTGACGACGAAATAATAACTGGTGCTGCTGCAGTTATAGTAATAGCAAATGCAAAAAAAATGCCTAAAAAACGAAGATTTTGGATGCGTCCGAGTTTACGTAGCAGAAGAATATATAGTGCCAGTGATATGATGAAAGATTTAATTTTG